TTACTAACGATAATATTGATCATCACGGAAATTTTCCAAAAATTGTTACAGATTTATTAAAAAGTCAAAATGTTCGTTAACACAGAAAAAAGATTTAACATTTGCCGTGTCACCTTTCCAAAATTCGCAAATTTCATAATCTTCGTGCAGGTTTTTCGCCAATTATCTCTTTTTATGTTTAGCTGTGCTTGGGTTTTTTGGTTTTTGGCGCGATTAACGTTCTCGCCATATTTAGTCAATTTTGTATCGTACGGTAAATGTTTTATTTCATAAAAATATACTCATTGTCAAGCGAACACTTGTGATTGAATTGAACGACGAGGGAATATGAATATGAATATGAAACAGCAAAAATCTATGTTTTTCAAACCTAATTTTTTGGGAAGGAATTTTTTGTTTTCGCTGGGTGGTAAATTTCAAAAAAAAATTTTTTCTGAAATCGATCTACGTGCGTGATTTTTTTCTTTGATGATCAATGTACCTTTTTTCCACGTGATAAACTTTTATCGTGCAATGATAAGCAGAGAATTATTTATTGAAGAAAAAAAGAAAAGCATTGTTTTATCTTTTGGCGATTCTGATTAGTTTGCATTAGCAACAAGTATTCAAAAAATCAAACGATTGAATTAATTATTGTTTTTTTTTTTGAAAATACTTTTTTGGTGGCGGCGAAACATCTTTCTTATTTTTAGTGTGATGAAGATCATGCTATTTGTTGATATTAATTTAAAATGGTATGAAATTTTTGTTTAATTTACTTTTTAAGTCATTAATCGACAATTGAATTGTTTTTTTTTTTGTTTATTACTGTTATTACTAACTAAAAATGTCAATTATCTTTTAATTGACAATTGATTTACGAATTATCATTTTTGTGGGGCGAAGCATCTTGAATTTTCCATCAACAACAAGGAAAAAATTAATCGTGAATCATCCTGTTTCCTTTTAGTCTCAAAATCTCTACACTTTCAAAAAAGACTTGGTCGGTTCAACAACAATAAGGAAATTAATCGCGAATTATCCTATTCTTTTTTATTGGTGATCTTGAAACCTCCACACTTTCAAAAAAGTCTTGGTTGGGTTTTTTTTAACAGTGAACGACCAGTTCCTGTTTTTTACATCTTGCATATTTTCAAAAGGACTTGCATTTCTATACAATATCAATAAAAAATGATGAATGTTTGCTATATAAATGACCTGATTTTGCCAATTCGCAACCTATCTTTGCTTGTCTACACAACCAAAATAATCTTTTGCTTACCTTGCTGTTATGTTTTTTAATTAAAAATAAAAGGTTTAAATTTCAAAACACACTCCTGAAAAAAAAACTGAAATCTTAAACAAAATAAAAATAAATTGTCTCTACACTTAACTAAATACTAATATTAATGTAACCTTTTGAAATCATGGATTGTAGAATTGATTGATATGCCATTTCCCACTTTCTACAACCAAATCCAGAAAATCAACCTGAACAATCCAGCAACAATATCTCATTTCTTTCCATGTACTCAAACTGAAGTGAAATCAATTGTGATTTGGAGAATGCACCACCAACATGCAATCGATCTTGTGAACCACCCTCCTTGACCCCTTTAACTTTTGAAAAGTAGTGTCCTTCAAGAAAACTTCAGAAACTCTCGGATGAATTCAAGAAAAAAATACTATACAATCATCCATCTGTTCCTTGTGCCTATTGTTCTATGCTGATGATGAGAGCTGCAGTTAAATGGATTGATTATGATCTTGACAAAACTTATGACATAATGATAGCATTTCCAGACCTCCAATTACCTTTACATGTAAACAACAGGGGCCAAACCAAGATCGCTGTATGTTCATCATGTAAATCTACAAAAAATCACCACTTTCCACCTACCCTAGTGGTGATACCTGAGGAAATCATTGCAGTTCCAATGAAGCATCAAAAACACCTATCTCCAATTCACATGAGTTGTTCATTGGGACAAGCATCCAGGTCCAATCAATACACAAACTATCACCACTTGCAAGGTTTCATCGGGCTGTTGAAAAATAAGCATGATTTGAATTTGACTTGGGTTTAATTGAGGCTTTCCTAGATCAAAATGAACCACTGCACTGGTTTCACAAATCATTGGTAAATGCGAGCCAGTGACTGAAGCAAAATAAGCCAATATTCGAGCAGTACAACAAATGCTGCACTGTGACACACCCTCCAGCATCCAGTCTATTTCCACAACTGTTGCCAATGACTAGGCTGGTTACTCGATGCATGAGCTCAGCCACTTCACAGCAACAACCATCTTTAGTTGTCCCCAATGATGAATTTCTGGTGCAAATACATGATGAAGACTACCAATATGAAAGCCTGATGGCAGGGTTCATTGTCTCAAGTGGGGATGTTGCACTTCCAATCCAATCTAATAATCCAGGCATCAAGGCTTTGCTATTTCCTGACCTTTTCCCAACTGGCTGTGGGCACTATGAATATGTGAAAAAATTGTTAGGATTCAAACACCATAAAGATAGCTATGGAAAATATATTAAATTATGGATGTTGTGCCCAGATCTAAGGTTCAGGCTCCATTGGTACTGGCCACATTTCTCATACCAGAACCTGGAAAAGAAGCGCAACTACCAAAACTAAGGATGTTAGCCGAAATTGTTTTTAAATTTCTGAATATTTCGGATTTGAAATGTGCATTCTGATATTTTTCCAAAATGTTGAAATGTGCCGAAATGCCAAAATTCCATGTATAGAATGCCAAAACACTGAAATTCCATATTTATATATATAATAATATTATTAATTGAATTAAATATATGTGTTTGTTTGTCTTTTTCTCATTAACAAACTTTAATATTATGAAATAAGAACAATAATATATGAATATATGAATATTAAAGATAGTTATTAACATTAAAAAAAGAATAAATATTAAAAAATTATTATCCACCAATGGTTGATTTGGTAACCAAGTTCACAAAATGAGCTATGCATCTAAGATTACATGTAAACTTAACATTAGCACCATTATTGCTTTGAATTTATCAACTCCAATTTTATTGATTACTGTTTTAATTTCTGCTGTCAAAAATGTACCTTAAAACAAAACAAAAACAACGAAAATGTGCCCCAAAATCAGCCTGAAATCGTGTAACATTGCAGAAATCGGTGGATATGCTATGCTCAAAAAAATAAGTTAATTTCATATATATAGCATTACAATAAATATGTTTTTTAGCGAGACGCTTTTACCTGAACTTGCAACACCCAAGAAAACTTCTGAACATGACTGGTCAGATTCCCCATCAAATTCCCGCTTTAAACATAAAAGAAGTAAACATCCAGGTAAAAAACAACGTACCACCACTACTTCTAATTCTCAAGATTACGTGGATCTTCTTGTTTTTGGTTATGAAGCAAAATTATTTCGTGACGACGACATGTCACAAAAGGTCAATAATGGTGATTTATTAATACCTTGGAGGGGTGAAATCGAAAATAAAATTTTATTAGATAGGTGAGCTTCCTTTTTTCATAATAAAAGAATTTTTTAATTTACTACCTTTTTTTTTAAAAAAGATTGTTTGAATTTTGTTCGATATATAATTTTGTGTTTATTATTACATGTCGCTCTTTAACATACTACTAACCTTTCTTAGGGCTGGAGCTGTTAACTTTTCCCAAGTGAAAAATTATATAATATCAAATATAACGAAGGATTTAAATTAGAAAAATTTAATAAACTTTTTTTTTAAAAGAAAAAAGACCTTTCTTTGAACAGCTCTATGGTATATATGTTTTAAATAAAAAAAAACAATAGAAAGAAAAATAAATAAATAAGAAAGTTGTGTGTGTATATGTGTGTGTGTGTGTATGTGTGTGTGTGTTTTGGCCTTAATTAATTTGGCCAAAGACTTATTCAATTATTAGTGATTAATTTTATTATTTTATTTAAATTTAACCCAAACAATTCTATTAAACAAATATTATTAGATATGATGTAAGAAACTTACTTGATGATCGTGATCAATTTAAAAAAGTAACATATACATTATCAAGAAAATCTGAAGAAATTCAACAGGAAAAATTATGTGAAGAAGAAAGATGGGCTGATCTAGACTCTGAAGCAGAAGATCTATATGAAATGTCTGAAGAAGAAAGAGATATATACACTGGTATTAATCATAAATTACATTAATACATATGTAGAATAAAATATTATTATTTAACGTTTATTAATTATGTATATATTAAAGAGGAAAAAAGAAAGCGCAAAAAAACAAAAGAAGAGAATAAAGAATATGAATATAGTTATTCTGAAGAAAATCAAGCAAGTGTTGTTGATGATGGTGATGAAAATTATGAAGATCAACCTGAACAAATTCAAAAATCAGGATATATTCCAAAATTTACAGTTCCTCAAGGAATGCTTACGGTATGATTATTTTTACTTATAAATTTAATAAAAAGGTTATAATTAATTCTACTCCGATTTATTTGACAGCCTTCATCTAAACGTATTGATGAAATAATAGAACGTACAGCAAAATTTCTTAATGACAGTAGTGATCCCCAAATGGAAATAGTCATTCAAGCAAAACAAGCCAATAATCCAAGTTTTTCTTTTTTAAACAAGGACGATTCACTTTATCCTTATTATAAACATATCAGGTTATTATTACAAACTGGTCTTTTTGCTTATGGAAATAGTAGCAGTGATGATGACGATGATGATGATGATGATGACGATTATGATGATGATGATGATGATGATGATGATGATGATGATGATGAAAAGAAATATGACGAGAACAAGAATGTCTCAACAAAAAAAGATAAATTAATGGGAAAAAAATTAGATAAAGAGAATGTTCCATCAGAAGTTTCTGCAAAAGATATTAATGAAAATAAAAAAATAGATGAAAGGGCACAATATGAAGAAAGTTCAACAGCCCAAGAGCAAATATCTTCTACTTCATCTGTTGGTTCCAATATCATCACCAACAACACTACCAACACCAATTCAACCACTACTACACTGACTCATAACACTCAAAAACAGTCTAGACCAACAATTTAATTAATTATTGTTTTTATTATTTGTATGCCAGTAACACCAATTTTATCATTTGTCGTTGAAGCATCCTCTTTACGTTTTTTCGCCAATAACAATTAGGAGATTAATCACAAATTATCCTATTAGTGGTCTCGAAAAAAACCTCTACATTTTCAAAAAATTCTCGGTTGATTTTTTTTTTAACAACTGTTTTTTTTTTCAATTAATGGTGAAAGCGCATATTTGCATTTTTCAAAAAGACTTGGTCGGTTTCTTGTCAACAATAAGGAAATTAATCTCGAATTATCCTGTTCCTTTTTGCACGTCTTGGTCAGTTTTTTTTAACAACGACCAATTCCCATTTTTATTATTCATGTAACAACTCTTTAATCATTAAAATAAATAAACAAATAAATTTTTTACTCGTAAATAATACGATTGATGGATTGAATTATTAATATTATTATGTGATTTTATAATATTGTGACACCAAAGAATATCATCTCTATGAATGAAAGTTTGGCACTCTAACGTTGTATCACTATAATGATGGCATGATTTCGTGGTTTTAATGTATTCATTTTAAACTCAAAATATCTCTACGTTGGTGTTACGAAAAAAATATGCGAGGACGGTCGTTCTATTTATATACATGTTTCGAATTTAATAAAATAAATAGATTATTACTATTGTCTTTATACTTGCCATTTAAACTCAAAAGACAAGTTCCAATCCCCAAATCCCAAATACAAAACCCAAACCCTTGAATTTCGTGAATTGGATAATACATTTAGGTACAAATTTGGAATGTGTCTTGTATAAATTATTAAATTTGTACTAGTTTCGCGGTATTTCGGGGGGCTGGACTAGACTATACTTTGGGCAGCAAGTATAATTGTCTTTGATCCAAGTGATGTGATTTCATGATGAAGAATACGTAATCCAAACCCAACTTAACTTTAATGTTAACATGATGTTAAATAATAAATTTTTGATCTCGTATAGCACAGCATACATGATTGTGTAATATATAAAAGGCAAAAGTTCACGTTGTTGCATTCTCATTTGTAAGCTTGGTTTTATTATATTACCCGATAAATGCGCCATTTGGTCACGAAATAGTATATTTCCTTTATTTAAGAATTGCCTCATTGATCATGAATACACATTAGATATTAGGATGCTTAGCATCAATGCTAATAAATCAAAGAACATCATTACTATTTTTGGATGGCTCTCACGCAGCATTTGATGTCTTTAGATGGATGGTATGTACTATAATGCTAATCCATACTTCGACAAAACTCACTGTTACATCTCGGTTTCAAACCTTCTTTTACCCAATAACAAAAATGCATAATTAAATTTTCTTTTATAGTAATGTATAAGTCATTTGAATAAAAAAGTTAAAACGTCGCCTGCAGGATTCGAACCTGCGCGTCCAATGGACAATGGCTTAGCAGGCCACCGCGTTAACCACTCCGCCAAA